AACATGCTCAGTGAGGGCAGGGGCTTGTGTCTGACATGCCCACTGCCGAATCTCCAGCACCTAGAAAGGTGCCTGAAGCACGTAGCTGGCATCCAGTAAATGTGTGTAATAAATGAGCGAACTAGACAAGAATAGATACGTACTGGCAGACGTGGCCTATGGAGTACAGCTTCAAAAGCAGGAGAGTATTAAGACTCCTACATGGTAGGCCACATGGCACTGAGTTAAGAAAATGGGTCCTATAATCAGACCAAAGGTTAAATCTTGAAAGCTGTGCAATCTTGGACAAGTCACCTACAACAACAAAGACCTTGGTCTTCCATTGATAAAAACTGGGAAGGGAGAATCCACTTCAGAAGGAAAGGAGGACACAAGGCAGCTATGCACAACACTTCCATTGTGGTCAAGATGGCAGTGTAAATTCATTTTATTGGGTCTCACACCCCCACACAGTGGGTCTTACCCACTACCATTTGAAATACATGGCAATGACAGATGAAATATATTTTTAAGAGAAGAGTAAAATTAACAAGTGAACCTCAGTTAAAAAAAAAGAAAAGTGACAAACATACCCATGAAGCAGCAACCACAGAAACTCAAAGTGATGCACAGATATGTAGCCACAGGCAAAGGTGTCTGGAGGTCAACTTCAAGCAGGAAAGGAATCCTGCCGGAGATAAAGGCAGACAGAAAGGCCTGCTCGCTCCCTGCCTGAAGCCGCAACTTCAACTGGGCTGGCAGCCTTGATTGCACACCACTTGCTTCACCAGAGCACTGTGAGGTCTCCAGTAGCTCATTACATCTAAACACTACTGCCTCCTTTAACAAGGCTTCCCTTCCAGATCACCCCTGACTTACAGGGACAGACAGCAGGTCTCCCTGCACATGCTCCTTCCAAACTCTCTCATCTCTCTGATTTCTTCTGATCCACTTTATATTTACAGGCTATCTTTACATGATATCCCTTCTGGGATTTAACATGTCTTAATAATTCTACTTCTTGTAAAGGAAGCCTTTGCCAATTATTTATACCTTGATAAGTATTTACCTCTGAGTCCTCATAAACCATCGCTTTATATGGCACCAATTTACAGAAAGTAGCAATGAAGTTACTTAATTTTCAGAAAGAACCATACAAATTATAACCTACCTTCTAAAGCCAAAGACATAAAGAGAACACAAGCATAAACAAAAATAATGCTGGTTCATTATTCATCCATATTTACTATGCAAAATGAAAGTTTTAGTAAGTCTGGAATAATATATATTTGTTCTATTATATAGGCAAATAATCCTCTGTAGATGATAATGTATCCATTATAACTCCCTCCTTAATCTAGATGTTCTGACACGAGGAAAGAGTATTAAAATCTCCTCTGTGGGAGGTACAGAACTACAGTGCCTGTTGCTGACGGGCTTTCCTGCTGCACGGCGAGACTTGCAATTAGTGACGACAAATGGAATTCTCAAAATATTCCTGGGCTTTAGAGGATATCGGGAAACTAACAAAGGACTTAAAAAATGGTAAGAAAGGAAGTAAGAAGAAGGAAGGTGGCAGAAATAAAGTGAGCCAAAACCTGATCTGCAAGCAACAAGCTCAAGAGAAACAATTCAGGGTGCCAGAGAACGAATGCCATTTTCACTGCAGGATCTCTAGAGGTCTGTGCACTCTAGACCCCAGTTCCCACCACATGGTAAGTTGGAGGAACTGAACCTGAGCTTTCCTTAATAAATCAGGACCCTCAAATGGAACCAAAGTGGTTTGAACCAAGAACACTCCCAACCTCCTGGCAAAAGAAAGAAAAACCCTCCAAAAAACCCCACAGGATTAAAAGAGATTAAATCTATGTTCTAATAAATCTCAGAGCATGCAAGAAAAGAAGCCATGTGAGAGCAGCATATTGAGGGAAACTGAAGACTTTTGATACTGGAATGATCAGATACAGAATAGGAAACATCACACATTAAATGTTTAAGAACACCAAAGAGGTCAAAAACGAAGAAGGATCAAGAGCCTATCAAAAGCAACAGGCCAAGTGTGAACACGGAACTGAAGGAAGTTAAAACAGGGACCAAAAATCACTGAGATGTAAAACACAAAGAATGGTCGAGCAGCAGATGAGCCCCAAATGAAGGACTTCACGCACTGCATGGAAGAAGTGAAGACATTCCCCGGAATGCAACACAAGGAGGCAGGAGAAGAGGGGGAAAGCCAACTCGAGAGGCATGGACAACAGATGCAGGTTTAAATAAGAATCCTGGGAAGTACAGCAGAAGGACAGAAAGAGTCAACATTTGAGAAGATAGCAGCTGAGCATTTTACAGAAATGATAAAGGATCTGAATCCAGAAATACAGGAAATGCACAGATACCAAGCAAGACAAAAAATCTTCAACTAGACATTTTGTGGTAAAGCTACAGAACACCAAAGACTAAGAAAAAGGTTTTAAGAAGCCAGAGAGAAGAGGCATTTAAAGGAATGACCAGTCAGGGAACAGGGTTTAAAGCTGCTACAGTGGTAAGGAGACACTAGTAAAATGGTACCTGTAAAGGGTGACACGAGTATTTTTACTGCCACTACTGCTAATACTGTGTCTAATGCATAAACAACTGAGGACACTGAAGATTAATCTGGAGCAGAGAAAACAGAAAGAATTATGACCCTCAAAAGAAGGGTCATGCCAATGAATTTCACAACTCTGGTGATCAAAAATTCTTAGAATTCCTCAAATTCTTAGAAAAATATATAATTTATCAAATTTGAATCAAGAAAACCTGAACAATCCTAAAATAATTCCAAAATGATTAAAGAAATTGAATGAGTGGTTAAAACCTTCCAACTAAAAACAAAGCAAAACAAACACACCGGTTTCAGAAGGTTTTTATAGGAAAAACTAAAAACTGCTCTAAGAACAGATCATTCCAATCTTATGCAACCTATTTTATAAAATAGAAAAAGAAATGTTCGACATACAAGAAGTTCTACAACTTCTATAACAGGATCATTCAGAAACAATGTGAGGAAGGGAAACTTAGGCCAACCTCAGTTGTGAACTTAGATCCAAAAATGCAAAGTACTAGCCTCCAAAATTCAGAAATATAATTCACCACATTTATATTCATGAAGAATTATACAAGGTTATCTCAGTTAATGCAGAAAAAAAATACACGTTTGGAAACTTCAAAACCTATGTATGACTTTTTATAAATCTTACCAAACTAGAAATAGAAGCAAACTTAATCTGATAAAGTATATCTTTTACAAATTTACAGAAAACTTCACTAACTAAACATCAGGAAGCCCTGAATGATGAAACGTTAACAGGACTCTTTAAATCAGAGCAGGATGACCGTCTTTGTTGCGTCTATTCACCCAAGTCCTGGAGGGCCGGGCCAGCGCCAAAAGATAAGAAAACAGACAGACTGACTAGCTCGTCGTTATTCACAGACCATCTATCTGTCCACCAAGAAAACAAACAAACAAAATCTATAGACAAAATGTTGGAATGAAATAAATCATACACACTCACTTAACCCAGCAGTGGGGATGAAATAAATGAACGTGAGCTAAATTCAAAAAACATGGATAAATCTCAGAAATACCGCTGAATGTAAACAGCAAGCCACAGATGATTATGTACCATGTGAGGCCATTTTTATTATACTCAAAACCAAATAAAACCGCATAAGGCATTGTTTAGGGATATGAATACTGGGGGTAAAAACCATTTTTTAAAAAGAAGGGTAACAGCATAATGCAGAGGAGTGACTGCCTTCAGAGGAGAAAAAGACTAGGATCGAGGAAAAGCACCCAATTAGCTTCGAATTCTAAAGGTCTAGTTCTTGAAGCACCGCACTTCAAAACTTGCATATATGTTATAGATTCTTTAGTAAATGTATCAACTTCTACAGAAATAAGATCATTTAAATTAATGGGATAGTTCAAATGATGGTTAGAAATTCCATATGTAAGTGACAGGCTTAATTAAAGCTCCTGTTAAAGACAGCTCCTCTGTACAAATTTCATTCACAGGAGGGTTGCCACAGGAAACACAATAACCACCACAAAATATACAGTGAATCACTGTCTCTTTCTCTGGGGAAGGAGTACAGCCCTTAAAGGATTAGAGAAAGGGAAACACAGTCAGTGCCAGCCATGAGCCAAGTACTGGACTAGAAGTCCTCAAGTATCTGTTTTATTCCACAAACCCAAAAAGTCCATGGAGAGCCTTCTGCTTAGGCCTCTCCCTCCAGCCAGCTCTGCAACAGACAGACATTAGGCCTTCCGTTTACAGTCATAAAGTTGATCTCACACCAACCTAAGTACATGAATAATTTCTAGATAACCAACACTTAACTTTCAGAACCTACAATTTAGTTCTACTGGAGCTCTCCAGGTAACAGTAACCTGGCACTTGTCCAATACAATTTGTGGACAAGAAAGACTGTAAGCTTAACTGATCAAGAACCACACACAAATATATTGTTCCAACTTTGAAAAGAATATGTAATCACACGTGGACACACTGACACATACGAAGATTTCAATCTCACCAGCAGTCAGGAAAATATGTATTAAAAACAGTGGGTTTTCAACATGCCAGTTTGCGCGTGTGTGCGTGTGCGCACGCACGCACACACAAACACACACACACACCATCTCCAGTGTTGGTTAGGGAAATTTACATGCAACTTCCACATAAATTTCCATATAAGTTTATATGACTTTTTCAAAAACCATTTGGCAATATCGGTGTTTTAAATGTAGATACATTTCCATCTAATAACTTCACATCTAGGTAACCATACAGGAAAATTCTCCCATGTTTCCAAAAAAAATTAAAAATCACAAGAATATTCTTTGCAGCATTGTTTGTAAAAGTTGAAGGAAGGAAATACATGCCCATCATTTTTTATGTCAAGTAAAATTAAAGAGTTAAAATACCACATTTTAAAACAACAAGAATCTTAAAAGCTAAATGAATTTAACAAAAACTTACTTCAAAAAGAAAGAGTATGGAGTCCAGCTCCTCCCTTTGTGACTTATTATTCCCTGGAATATATTAAAAAAAATTAGTTAACATGACAATGTGTAAATTTGAGAATCTTAAAAATTATGTTATATTGAAAGCATTTAAGCTTCAACATGCACTCATTTATTCAAAAACTACCAGGGTGGAACAGGGAATCTGTGTCAGGAATGTAGACAGACCCCCCAGGCCACACCGCCTGAGTCCACATCAAGCAGAGCCACTCCTCGTTAGCTGTTTAAACACAGCTTCCACGTTTTCCAAGTCACCGTCAGCCTGTGGAAGGCAATATATTCCTTTCTCAATTAGTTACATACAAGCTCACAGTATGAGGGAAGGCACAGCAGAAGCAAAGAAAGAGTTCTAGCTTTTTTGATGTGAAGAGGCACAGAGCAGTTATTACTTTGAAAAGCCATGCATGTCTTCAGGCCATGTGCACTGTCCTTTTAAGGGTGACAATCATAGAAACTACAAAACTGACAGTAGCCAGTTACATTGATTGTCTGGTCTAGGTGCTGTGGACCTGCGTTAAGTGCTTGCCATTGAGCATCTAACTTAGGAAGCAGCAAACCGTTTCTCGAAAGGGCCGGCAGTCTATATTTTAGGCTCTAGAGGTCCCTCTTGTAATCACACAAGCAGCCATGGGGAACACATACATGCACTGGGGATGGCTCTGTCCAACAACTTATTTGTACAAACAAGCAGCCAGCTAAAAGCTGTGTACTCCTGATCTATTGGAATCCCCACAGCTCTATGAAATAAGAGGGTGACAGCAGCTAATATTTACTGAGCACATACTATGTGCCATACTCTGTCCTGAAATCCCAGGATACATGCTAACCTGTTTGATGCCAAAAGGAGGAAGCTGAGTCAGAGAGAGGTGAAGTAGCTTGCCCAAGGAGAAACAGCTGAAAGGACAGGGCCAGGATCCAAACCCAGTCTGGCTCCCCAGGCTACACTATCCTGTAATCTAAATACTGAGCGGATTGTGCAGTGTGACATTATTGGCTTGATTTTTCAAAGAATATTTTATATAAGGGTATAACCATAAACATAATACATTAATAATACATATGGGGTGCCTGGGTGGCTCAGTTGTTAAGCGTCTGCCTTCAGCTCAGGTCATGATCCCAGGATTCTGGGATCAAGCCCCTCATCTGGTTCTCTGCTCAGCAGGAAGTCTGCTTCTCCTTCTCCCACTCCCCCTGCTTGTGTTCCCTCTCTCCCTGTGTGTCTATCAAATAAATAAATAAAATCTGCTAAAAAAATAACACATATAAAAAGAAATGCATGCAGAGAAGGAATGGGGACCTGGGCAAAAACATATGCTTCAATTTTCATTTTAAACACTTTTTTTTTTAAAGATTTTATTTATTTATTGGACAGAGGGAGAGAGAACATGAGCAGGTAGAGCACCAGGCAGAGGAAGAGGAAGAAGTTGGCTCCCTGCTGAGCAGAGAGCCAGAATCTGGGGCTTGATCTCAGGGCCCTGGGATCATGACCCAAGCCAAAGGCACACACTTAACCAACTGGGCCATCCAGACTCCCCATTTCAAACCCGATAGTGGAGTCTGAATTTTTTTTTATAGTGCACACCTACTACTTTTATGTCTTTCTTTTGAAGTAAATTATTCCTGTGGAATTCATGCCTTCTGTGGCTTTCTCCTTCCATTTTCCCTGTAGCCATTTGTTGTTCAATTAACAGCTGTATGAGAGAAGGTTCCAAGGAAACAAAGATGCTAACAACATTGCAATCTCCCAGCATTGCTAAGAGTCTGGCAAGAAAGGAAGCTTAAAAGCATATAACTTGTGGCTAATGAACACACAACGTCTAAAACTTTCTGAATCTTAAAAAAAAAAACAAAAAAAAATTTTTAAAAAACCTTTGTGTATATAAAAAAAAAAAACTGTAGAAATGCTTACCTTTTAATTTCAAACTATTTTCCAGTGTTATAAAATTTTCATAGAAGATGAAATATATCTGAGAATAGTTGGTCTCAAAAAACTGTTTAAGATCACCTGCATCCACATTATCTGAAAAGAAAAAGTTACCATTATGACAATAATCTTATACAACTATCGGAATTCACAAACCTTTTCAGAAATGAAGGAAAATAAAAACTAGTCACTATGAGACAAAACAGAACAACAAAAATGGTATCCCCATCCATTTGTTCTCCACAAAGTGATCTCAGTTGGCCTGGGGCCCCTCCTCCATAGGCAGACCCGTCCAGGAGACTGATTCAAGGGCCTAAGAGCCATGGGGGCACAGCATTCAAAGAGGAGCTAGAAGGCTAGAGGCTAGTACAGGTCTGGGGAGGAAAAAGATGCCTTCCTGTTGGGGGTGGGGAACAGAAGTTCATGGAAGAAGTGGCTTTGACATAGGCCATAAAAAGGGATAGGTTTGTCCATCTGAAAAACAATTCTGCTGCTGGAGTCATACATGGTCCAGTCTCTCTTCCCCTCAGCTGACCTGAGACCAGCTCAAGGAACTGGCAGGCACTGCCTAGCATACCCACCCACTTCCACCTGGGCCACTGGTCAAAGCCTTCCCTCTAGCTCCCAGGAGAGCTGTTCCACTCCTGTTTGGACACAGGGAGGTCCGCCACATGTTCCCAGAGTTGCCCTGAGCAGTGTTTCTCCCTGTTGCACTAGGGCTGCTCAACCAGGACCGCGGCTAGAAAGGCAGGTTGTGCAGGGAGCTTAGCCCAGCAACAACTGTTGGGCAGCAAGAGCAGCAACACAGCCACTTCATCCAGGGGCCCAATTATCCCTCATAACTCTGGTTGGAGTACTCAGCCACTGTCAATAGACCTTTGTACATTTTCCTTAGCCAAGAGGTTGTTTGTACCATTTACAACAGGGTCCTGACCAAGATGTTAGCTCTTGGGAAGAATACACTAGTCATCTCGAGAAAATTAAGAACAGCTTCTTTAAATTCTGTAGGGATTACTCAAGAAACAAATGTACATCTATTCAGTCTATGATAAAGTGGATTCAATTGAATGTTGGGGGCCTAATACTGTGACTAGATGTGAACACATCCATTACTATATTTAAGTTCTATAAACTTAACACTAACACTGGTGAATCTAAGGAGTTGTTTTCCTCTGAGAACCATATAGGGCTTTTCATTAAAAACAACAACAACAAACAAACAAACAAAAAACAAAAAAAAACAACAACTAACAAAAAACTGACCTGGTTCTTTAAAATAATGTACAGAAGGTGTTTGTAAAGTCATATCAGCTGCCAATTTCACATTCTATTTTCTGCTCCCAAATAAGCACACAGAGCAGTGGAAGTTCCTAGTAACTAACAAATTTACCTGCATGAATGCCCTGCCTGGCATATGTCACCACGAATCCTCATCCAGGCGGTAATATGCCCTCTGCCTGGGCTCTTGCTTCTACTCCTCCCCTCCACTGGCTGTCCTCCACCATTCAGTCAGCAGAAAGACAGAACACTGTAAATTAAACCCGGTCCTTCTTCACTCAAAACCTCCCAGTGACCTCCAATAGTTCTTACAATCCAAACTCATGACCACAACCTACAAGACCCTATGTAATTTCCTCCATTCAATGCCAATTTCATTTCACAGCATTCGTCCTTCACACCCCACACTCCAGCCACCATGGCTTCTTTCTATTCCCTGAGCTTCTCAAACACATTTTCCATTTGGGCAACCTCTAGTATGCTGCCCCCACCCCCAGAGCCCACAGAGTTCATTCCCTCTCATCCTTCAGAACTGGGATCACACAATACCTCTTTAAAGAAATCTAAAAGTGCACCATATGTCACGCTTCACATGCCATCCGATCGCCCTGCCTTCTGCCTTCACAGACTCTGTAATGGCTGGATGCCTGACTGCTCACCAGTGAACAGGCCTTGGACACACAATGTCATAAGCAAGCAAGCAGTTTCCCTGGCATTGAGGATGTGGGTGGACTGACACAGCAAGATGGCACAGTGAGGTTACTGGGTGATCGACGACTCCCTCATCTTTCCTGGATCCCCATTGGTCCATCAAGGGTACTCAAATAGAGCAACCTGAACAAAGAGGGTTCAAGTTAAGGTTGAGGAACGCTCATACAGACTGAGGTGCTCTCATGAAACCAAAAGTCCTCGTAATAGCCACCTTTCTCCTCAGCCATTCACTATCTTTCTTGTGGATAAGGGAATGGATGGGACAGAGCTTCAAGTACTCACCATCAAGACCATTAGATACCTTTCAGGTAACCTGATAAACAGGGAAACTAAGAGCATAACATGTATAACATATATAACATACTCAGTTTTATTTATAAATATGAGGACTGCTTCCTGGTCTAGGAGTCCTCTTCATATAATTTCTTCCTACTACAGCTCTTAAGATTCATTGAAATTCTCTCATCTATTCATTTCCTTCTTCACTGACTATCACTCCACTAACTAGAATGGAAGCTACATAAGGGCAAGACGCTCATCCGATTTGTTCATGGCTCTATTCCTAGCCCCAGGAACAGAGTTTGGTATCCAAAAGGTACTGAAGGTGTATTTGTTAAATGAATAAACAATCAATATTAAATATTTTATATCTCTAATTCAATAGCTGAAAGGATGGATTTGTCCAACTGTTTAAAAGCAAGATTCATTAGGTGAATCTTTAAAAGTAAGCCTAGACCTTGGAAAAGACCACAGATACTGTAATTTAGCATCCTGCATAAGGGAAAACAAGAAAGTAAGAAAGGGTTGATTTTTAACAGGGCTAACTTCAAGAAGCACAGAGACAAGGAGGAAGGCTTCATTCAGACAAAACAATGAACAACAATGAAAAACAAACAAAAACAACTATGACCAGGAACAACCTTAGACAGATTTTCTTTTGAACTTTCATTTGAACATTACTGAGCCAGTATCCATGCCAACTTGCCTTGAGCCAAGTGCTAGGAAATTCAAAGACAGTAAGACATGGGCTTTGAGGGTACAGAAGGAAACAAGTAATGCAAAAGGCACCATGATCAAAGCTGACGCAAGGCATCAAAGCACAGAGTAGACAAAGCCACTTGGAGAGGGTGGGAAGATTAATTAATGTTATACATTTATGCTTTATAAGACACTTTCAGGAATTTCTTTTATTGGACCCTCATTCATAATCCTGTGAGGTAGATGGGGCAGGTGTGATTGAGATAAAGAAACCACAGGTTCTATGTGACTTGCCCAAGGTACCACAGTCAGAGGTGTGGGCAGAACTCCCATCTGGTCTCCCAACTCAAATCTGAACCACACAAAGGTCACAGAGACAAGGGGGAATAAATCAAAACAGAAATCAGGTCAGGAATATATGAAAATAATCACCACCTTGGGGATGTAAAGGACAGCCAAATAAAAAAGAGCAGGAAGATAAGTAGATCCGTGAGAAATGATGGGGAGTGAGTGGCACTGAAAATGGGAACTGCCAACTTCCCCAAGAAGGAGTCCTGAGAAGCACCACAGCACTCATGGTGAGCAGTAAGCAAAAGAGAGGAGGGAAAAGTGCTGAACAGCAGAGCCCAGGCCACAAACTGCCTTTGAGGTGGTGATTTTCAGCCTTCACAGACACTAGCACACTGCCTTAACTATCATCACAATGCCCAGAGAAGTACATTCAAACTAACCACAGAGAAACAACCAGCTGAGAGCTTTACAGGGCTAGGGGTTATTACTGAATTTTTTAAAGAAATCTTTAATTTCTCATTCTCCTTTACCACCAACCAAGAACCAATATGCTGTTTCTATTATTTTCCCACTTTATCTCAAAAATAATCTATAAACCACACACACCAGCTAAAACCTCTTGTTGACAATTATTTCTCCCTATCTAGCTGAAAGGCAATAGCAAAGGTTGAGGGCAAAACCTCCAGAGCAGACTGCCTAAGTCCAGAAGCTACAGGGTCTTGGACAAGTTTTTGTTTTGTTTTTCTTTTTGTTTTTCAGTGTTCCAAGATTCATTGTTTATGCACCACACCTAGTGCTCCATGCAATATGTGCCCTCCTCAACACTCACCACCAGGCCCTCCCTACCTCCCACTCCCTTCCCCTCCAAATCCCTCAGTTTGTTTCTAAGGGTCCATAGTCTCTCACGATTTGTCTCTCCCTTTGATTTCCCCCAACTCACTTTTCCTCTCCTTCACCCAATATCCTCTGTGCTGTTCCTTATGCTCCACAAGTGAAACCATACGATTGATAATTCACTCTCTCTGCTTGACTTATTTCACTCAGCATAATCTCCTCCAATCCCATGCGTGTTGATACAAAAGTTAGGTATTCATCCTTTCTGATGGAGGCATAATACTCCATTTTATATATGGACCACATCTTCTTTATCCATTCATCTGTTGAAGAGCATCTTGGCTCTTTCCACAGTTTGGTGACTCTGGAGATTGCTGCTATGAACACTGGGGTACAGACGGCCCTTTAGTTCACTACATCTGTATCTTTGGGGTAAATAGCTAGTAGTATAATTGCAGGGTCATAGGGTAGCTCTATTTTTAATTTCTTAAGGAATCTCCACAAATGTTTTCCAAAATGGCTGCACCAACTTGCATTCCCACCAACAGTATAAGAGGGTTCCCCTTTCTCCACATCCTCTCCAACACTTGTTGTTTACTATCTTGTTAATTTTGGCCATTCTAACTGGTATAAGGTGGTATCTCAATGTGGGTTGTTTCTGTTTATTTGGGGGTTTTTTTGTAATTTTTTTTCAGTGTTCCAAGATTCATTATTTATGCACCACACCCAGTACTCCATGCAATATGGGATGGCTCACCCATCCCCTCACCCCCCACTTCTCCAAAACCCTCAGTTTGTTTCTAAGAGTCCACAATCTCTCATGGTTTGTCTCACCCTCCGATTTCCCCCAACTCACTTCTCCTCTCCATCTCCCCATGCCCTCTGTATTATTCCTTATGCTCCACAAGTAAGTGAAACCATATGAGAATTCACTCTCTCTGCTTGACTTACTTCACTCTGCATAATCTCCTCTAGTCCCATTCATGTTGATACAGAAGCTGGGT